CCCAAAGACTAACCGCAATCCATCACCACATACATGTGCCTAATCATCCCTTCCGCACTTCTTCCTCCTCCCTCCCCCCTTTCCCTCTGGTATCTACCAATCCAATCTCTATCTCAATGTGTTTGTTTGTTGTTGTTTTTATCTTCTACTTATAAGTGAGATCATACGGTATTTGACTTTCTCCCTCTGATTTATTTTGCTTAGCGTAATACCCTCAATGTCCGTCTATGTTCTCACAAATGGCTGGATTTCATCGTTTCTTATGGCTGAGTAGTATTCCATTGTGTATATAGACCACAGCTTCTTCATCCATTCGTCTCCTGATGGGCACTTAGGTTGCTTCCAAGTCTTGGCTATTGTGAATAATACTGCAATGAACACAGGGGTGCGTGTATCTTTACGCATTTGGATTTTCATGTTATTTGGATAAATACCGAGCAGTGGAATAGCTGGATCATGTGATAGTTCTATTCTTAATTTTCTGAGCAATCTCCATACTGTTTTCCATAGTGGCTGCACCAGTTTGCACTCCCACCAGCAGTGTATGAGAGTTCCCTTCTCTCCACATCCTCTCCAACACTTGTTGTTTTCTATGTTGTTAATTATATCCATTCTGACAGGAGTGAGGTGATATCTCATTGTAATTTTGATTTGCATTTCCCTGATAGTTGATGTTGAACATCTTTTCATGTGCCTGTTGGCCATCTGTATATATTCTTTGGAGAAATGTCTGTTCAGATCTTTTGCCCATTTTTCATTTGGGTTGTTAGTTTTTTGTTGTTGAGATGCATGTGTTCTTTATATATTTTGGATATTAACCCCTTATCAGATATATGGTTTGCAAATATCTTCTCTCAATTGTTAGGTTGTCTTTTTGTTTTCTTGATGGTTTCCTTTGCTGTGCAGAAGATTTTTAGTTTGATATAGTCCCATTTGTTTATTTTTTCTATTGTTTCCCTTGCCTGGTCAGACATGGTATTTGAAAATACGTTGCTAAGACCCATGTCGAAGAGCATATCACCTATATTTTCTTCTAGAAGGTTCATGTTTTCATTCAAGTCTTTAATCCATTTTGAGTTGATTTTTGTGTATGATGTAAGATAATGGTCTACTTTCATTTTTTTGCATGTGGCTGCCCAGTTTTCCCAACACCATTTCTTGAAGAGCCTTACCTTTCTCCATTGTATGTTCTTGGCTCCCTTGTCGAAAATTAGCTGTCCATAGATATGTGGGTTTATATCTAGGCTCTCGATTCTGTTCCATTGATCTGTGTGTCTGTTTTTGTGCCAGTACCATGCTGTTTTGGTTACTACAGCTTTGTAGTATATTTTGAAATCAGGGAGTGTGATACCTCCAGCTGTGTTCTTTTTTCTCAAGATTCCTTTGGCTATTTGAGGTCTTTTGTTGTTCCAT